AGTTTCCAGACCTAAAAATAAATGATTATCATTGTCATAATATAGTAACGTCACAAACAATCAAATATCCAGAATTTGGGCCATAAATAATAGTATTTAGAAATTTTGTTTGCATAACTGTATTAGTAAAACTTCAGTGTTTCAGCTCTGAGTGGCATCACAGTCAAGAAAATTTTATATGGGCCATTTGTGATATTCGGCTATTCGTATACATGACCAGAAATGACTGCGTTGTTTCAAATATACACCGGACGTGCGATGTTCCGAGAACATTGCGTCTAGGCGATTTTATCAATAAGACGACTTAAAACATTTTAAAATATTAATTAAATTTTGTTGTGTAATCATTTGCTAAAAACTACTTCACTATTACTTTTAATATATATTTTACACTTTTAAAACTTAAAAAATAATTTAAGAATGTTTGAGTGTTCTGGTTTAATCCATATGGTAGTCAATTAATATCAACATTGTAATGAAAAAACAATTCGCCACAGATGAAACGATTTGAATAATTTAGTAAGATGCTTTGCGATAATTTGTCCAAAACAATAGAAACATTTAAATTCAAATGATTAAGCAGACGACTAGGTGTGAGAAACTGTATGTTTTACATCAATCATCTCTATCGTGATCTCTAAAGCGACGTTCAATACTATGATCTTGAAACAGTTCACATCAAAAAGTATTCTATTCAGATTAGAATATTTTTTTCTCAAAAATTTGCGCTCATCCAAGATATTTAACCTATAATAAATAATACTATCTTAAGATAGGTCATTACTGCATGATTTACATTACAGTCTATGCTTGTTTACATCGATATACTACTTTGAACAAAGATACTAATGGAGACATCAAACATTACTACATGTAATGTAAATACATAGGGACTCTGATTTCTAGTGCCATGTACATACTGTATTTTTGCTTGAAAGGTTTAGACCATAACCATGTTTTAATGTTTGTGGTTTAAACCACTAAATTTGATGATTGTATGCGCTCTGGGGTCGGCTTGCTGGCGTAGAGTGCTTTATAAATGTCGCTTATTATTTTTAAAACAGATTACTCCATTGAACGAGAACATACAGGATTGAGGACAATTGCTGGTTATGGTGTATCAATAACAAGAGGTGCTGCCAGTGTGATGCTTTTTACATATTCCCTTCTTCTTCTTACCATGTGCCGCAACCTGATTACCAAACTTAGGCAAACTTTTGTCAACAGATTTATTCCATTTGATTCGGCAGTATGTTTTCACAAGATTGTTGCATTTTCAGCATTATTTTTCACAAGTAAGTATCTAAAACTTTTGCTTTTGCAGTAAGTAATATTTTAATGAAAACTTACAAGTTACATGAGATAAAAAAAAACATAGTATAATTTCATTTTTACTTGCATTTTATTTTAGTAATCCACTGTGTTGGTCACGCCTTAAACTTCTACCACATAGCAACTCAGCCAGCTGATGATCTGTCTTGTCTGTTTAGAGACTTTTTTCATAGATCACATGAACTACCAAAGTTTCAATACTGGCTCTACTACACAATTACAGGTGAGTTACTTGTATGCAATAGTTCAATTACTAGACTCTGTATAATATGTAGTGCTGTAGACCTAACTGGATAAAAATATTTTTGTACAATTGTTATGCCATTTGTGTAGTTTGAGCTAGATGTGTACTGTTTTTCTATTTTTGATATCTTATTTTATTTTATAGGTTCTACAGGAGTACTATTGGTTGTAATTACATCCATCATATATATATTTGCTTCTCAGTATGCTCGTCAGAATTCATTTAATTTATTTTGGATTACTCACAACTTCTATATACTGTTGTATATTTTAATGATGCTACATGGGAGTGGGCGACTTGTTCAGAGACCTTTTTTCCACCTGTTCTTTGTTGGTCCAGCGATTGTGTTCGTAATTGACAAGTTAATCAGTGTCAGTAGGAAGAAAGTAACAATATATGTGAAGAGAGCTGATCTTTTGCCTTCAAGTTTGTATAGCTATTTATATTACACTATATTTAGGTTTAAAATATTCTGTATTTTATTATTTTATAATTTTTAGTTCATTGACTAATGTGTTTATATTACTTTTTATTAAAGTTTATTTTTGTTTGTTAACCTATTGCTTTCCATTTTATGGTAACATAAATTCACATTTACATAATTACAAGCATTTGAAGTATACGCAATTTGATTTTGATTCGATTTATTTGGCATTTCTACGACAAAATAAAAAAGTTAAGTCATCATCAAGATATATTTATAAATTATAACTGAAATATAGACTCATAAACACCGGGTTGCTGTTCGGCGGTGTAGCTCTCTACCATTGTTTAAGATTTAATATAAAGCGCCTAAAGGGAGTTTAATATATCCAGGAACTAGAGCTACCACTCAAATATAAATTTATTTATACATTAATATTATTATTATTATTATTGTTATTATTATTATTATTGATGGCCCTCTCACACCTTGACGATTTAGACAGCGTATGCTGTCGTATGAAGAAAAATTGCGAATACGCTGACGTACGTTATTTATAAGTTTCGTATGAGTTAAGAGCACGCTGGTATATGTCCTAGTACAGCGAGTAAGTTGAAAAGTTTTGTGCGTGCACAAAACTTTTCGACGTATCCCAGCGTATGGCTTGTGCGTTCCGCATTCGCAGGCCATAAGTTGTAGGTAAGTTAAGCGATCGTAGGCACACGTTGACACACGTTACTTGTAAGTTACTCAAAAGTCAAAACGTATTTCTAACCTATGAGCAACGTGCTTTGAACTTATATGTAACATATAACAAACATATCTCCAACGTATATTGACGTATTTGACGAGTTCCAGACGACCACAAAACTTACTGAACGTGTTTCTAACTTACAGTTATCGTCAAAATTGCGTATTGACAGCGTTTAGGGAATAGGTATATTAAAATGGGGTGATGTCAATACGGTGATATTGATACTGCGATGTCTAGTGCAGTTATGATTTCAATCGACGAGCGGCAGCCTTTTTATAGGCTACGTCGTGTGATCATCGGTGATATGCTGCCGTGCGCTGTGCATAATGTAGACTATCGCTGGGCATAAGTTGTGAACGCCAGCAGCACACTAAGCATTCATTCGTGTAAGTTTTCTATAAGTAATCCAAACGTTCTATATAATTTACTAATACGTTATTTATACATGCAATACGTTATGGATACGCTATAAATGCATCCAAATTTGAAAATAAATTATCGATATTCAGAGTACACCAGCATTTTAGAGAAATTTTGATACGTTTGGCATATGCTGACTAAATCGTCAAGGTGTGACAGGGCCATGACAATTATAAATATAAATTAAAAGTTTATCCTCAAAAAACTTTTTCAAGTATTAAATCTAACCTTCGTATCATAATAACAATAATAGCTACAACAATAATAATAATGATAATAATAATAATAACAATAATAATAGCACTCAGTAGAGAGCATATCTCCGCCCAACGCCCATCTCTTTTTATTAAAAATTCCTTCAAAATATGTACTTTCCAACCACCAACCACAGTCTACTTTTAAAAAATTACACTAACACAAAAGTTTCATTTAGTTTTTGAGATATCTGATCTGCGACACTTTGCTTTGAATGATCCATAATCGACATAATAATAATAATAATATTAATAATATTAATAATAATAATAATAATAATAATAATAATAATAATAATAATAATAATAATAATAATAATAATAGTATAGTAATAATAATTTGCGTGTCATTGTGAACAAGATTTTTTAGTGCATTAAATCTAAACCTAAAGTATAATAATTTTCCTATAGTGTACTATGCACAGCTCTACTAATTGCTTATTGGATTTATGATCATGTTAAACAGCAGCAACAACAACAATAACAATAATAGCAATAACAATAATAATAATTTCGGCACTGTTTAAAGCTTGTGATTGGTTGGAATTAAACAACGTAACGGCGTTAAAAGAAGACGATGTTTTCATTATGGATCTGATGGCTAACCATAATCACTAGCTCTGTGAGTTAATGCGTAGGCCTACTGCAAGAGTCCAAACAGCATATGCACAGCTATGGAAATCGTCATATGATGACTGCTACAACAGTTGGTTATCAAAACTAACATTAAAAGATGGCGATTGACTTATAAGTTAAATTATTATGGAATTAATGATATTGAGCTACAATGGTTTAAATCATAGATATGTGACAGATCACAAGCGGTTTTTATTAACTCCAGTCAGTCTAATCTTATGAATCTCAATATTGGTGTACCACATGGAACTATTTTGGGTCCCTTACTATTTTTAATTTATGTAAATTCTCTACCTGATGTAATGTCCTGTAAAGTTGTTATGTATGCAGATAACACCACTATACTTTGTAACTCATCTGACCCAGTCACTCTACAACAAGAACTAAATTCTTGTTTGACTAAATTAGCTGACTGGTTCAATGAAAATAAATAAATTATTAATATAAAGAAAATAAAATTAATGTTATTTGGAACAAACTACATTCTTCCTAAATTTAAAGATATTTCACTTGATTTGAATGGTGATATTATTGAAAGAGTTGATTTTTTTAAATACTTAAGTGTAACTTTTGATCCTGTACTAACTTGGAAAGACCACATAAATACATTATCTTCAAATTTGTCTAAGCGTATTGGTGTCATCTGCCGTATAAAATACCTACTTCCACCCCATACTCTTAAAATGCTTGCCAAGTCCTTAGTATTACCTCTTTTTGATTATTGTTGTTGTGTCTGGTCAAATTGTAATGTTCAATATTCAATTGTTTACAAGTTCAAATGAACAGATTATGTAGAATTGTTTTGTCTGTTGATATTTATACTTCCGTTGATGTTATGTTAAGTTCACTTGCATGGAAACGACTACATGTAAGGTGGAATGAACAGATAGCCTTAATGACTTTTAAATGTTTAAAAGGGTATGCACCATCTTATTTATCATCTAAATTTAAATTTAATATTGAATCCCATTCAAAATGTACATGTAGTCAATCTCATAATAACCTTTTTGTACCACAATGGAAGAACTGTCAAGGCAAGAGAAGTTTTTTGTATCGCTCAACAAAGTTGTGGAATGCACTTCCACACGAAACAACAACAAATTTCATGAACATGTCTATTATATTTTTAAAAAACTCTTTTAATTCTTAATGACTTTTATTATGATATCTATTTATATATATGTATGTTTTTAATTACTTTTCTTTTAACTTTTGTATCTTATGAAACTGTACCACTTTGAAAAACAGTACACAAGTACTGAAAGTGCATTGCAGTAGAAAGACAGAATAAATAAATAAATAAATAAAGCAATTAACAGAGCATGCATCGTACACTAGTGGAAAATTATTATAATTAGGTATAGATTTAATGCATTTTAAACCGTAAGCAACGTTACACGTCACATCATCAGTAAAGCAGCAGTACGGACACAATGAATAATTCTTGATAGAAGAAATTGTTTGTAATGCTATTTTGATAGACATTTGTCAAAGAAATAAACATTAGCATTTGAGAGAGAATACAGTAGTCACATTTCGGTCAGTCGTGTTACGTGCTACGGCCTGTAGTAGTATATAGTAGTAGAAGTAGGAGGAGGAGGCCTCGGCAGCCCACATCTAATTTTGTTCCTTGAGTCTTTAAAATAGGTGTAGAATATTCCTATTAAATGTTCAGTTTGTCCATTTTATTAGGGTTCATTGATTCGAAGAATTCCTTAATTGTTCATACTTAATATTGAATTTGAAGTAACTTTCTTCGGGTTCTAATTAAACTTTTTTTCACAAAAGTAATTTTCAATTACAATTTTCAGCGCGGTGCACGATATATTTGCGGTGACAAAAAATGAGGAATTTTTGTTTGCACATGAATCTAAAAAAATCAAGCCAAGCGTCCAATAATTGAAAAATTATTGGACTGTGGGGGATAGGCAATTAAAATTTGGAGCTGCAGTGATGACGTCACTTAATACTTGATATAAGACGCCTAAGCTTATATACTGAAATTCCTATAAATTTACTACTTCTTAATACTTTCTTGTTAAATGAAAAAGTTTCAGACTTTCTAATTCCATTACATTTTCCTTGTTAGATGTAACTTACCTCGAATTTCAAAGACCCAGCCATTTTGAATACAAATCAGGACAATGGGTTCGTATATCTTGCCCAAGAATAGGTAACTCCGAGTTTCATCCATTTACACTAACATCGGCACCTCATGAAGACACTCTAACTGTTCACATTCGAGCTGTAGGACCATGGACAACCAAGCTTTACCATTTGTTTGATCCAAATAATTTGAAAGGCTCACAGTATCCTAAAGTGAGTACTGTCACTGCAGTTGTGCTAATTATTCTTTTCATTCTAAGTACAAGAACGTAAGTGTAATGGTGTGTTTGTAATGCATTCAATTATAATACTTGCAGAATATTTTTTCTCATAATACTTTGTATAAGCCTGTATGATTAGTACGCTTGATTGTAAGTACACTCTGTCTTTATATATCCAATAGCTTTGTCTAGATGGGCCGTTTGGTGAAGGACATCAAGATTGGTATCAATTTGATATTGCCGTTCTAATTGGCGGAGGGATCGGGGTCACTCCATATGCATCAATAATGAAGGACATTATCAATAAGACAAATAACAACTCCAGAATAAGTTGCAAGAAGGTACGTGTATATAAATACATCAATAATAATAAGTGGTCGAATTGGGGCATATGATATAATAATGAAGCATAGTCCTTCAATGAAAAGTTAAGTACCGTACTCGCGCGAATAAGCGCCCGGGCGCTTAAAATATTTTTGCACTTTCTGAGGGGCGCTTATTTAAACAGGGCACTTATGAAAACAGAGTGGAAATTGAGGGGGCGCTTATGGAAATAGATGAAAATCAAGGGATTCTTATGGAAAATTATTAAATTCAAGGGGCACTTTTTGAATGAAAAGGACATTACGAATGGTGGGTAGGTGGAAAAAATAATCCTCCAGAGAACATGGCTCATGACAAGAATGCGTGAATATTTACATAACAGCAAAATAGCAGATGCAATTAATGGTGGTGGGTAGTGGTTAGCTTGTTGGCCATCGGCTGATTGAGATTAGCAGGATAGCAGGATCATTGTATTTTTTCTTGAAAACTCAGATGAGAATGTGTTAAAGGTCGGAAAAAGAAAAAGAGGATAGACAAATATGTAAAAAGTGTAAAGTTGGAAATATACTGTCTGTCCAGGGATCGGAGCTCTCATCTGTCCAAGAGAAATATCCTCATTTTGATATTGACCGAAAAAAAGAATGTGTTTCCACTCTGCAGCTCAAATCATGCCAACAACCACAGTCCAGGATTGATTGGATTATTGACTTGCTAAAAAGAAAATCTTATGATATTATTGACCGGGGCACTTATTCAAATTAGAATGGGGGAGCTTATTCAAATGGGGCGCTTAAGGAAATTTTCATGTTAGGAAGGGCGTTTATTCGAAGGGGGGGGGGGCTTATTCGAGCGAGTACGGTACCCTTTTTTCAGTAAACGCCTGTGTCCTTCCTCAGCATTAGTTGTATGTTCGAGAGGGGGGGGGGGGCTTATTCGAGCGAGTACGGTACCCTTTTTTCAGTAAACGCCTGTGTCCTTCCTCAGCATTAGTTGTATGAATGAGGAATACACAACAGATCAAATAAATACTGTAGGAAAGTAAGGAAGATAAAACCTAAGCTAATATGCACCTAATGGGCAACTAATTAAGCAATAAGCTGTCAGTTTATTGCTGACGATTTCATTGTATTATATTCTTATAAAGATCTCCACCATAGTTATCTGCCCATTGCTGCCTGTCAGACTGGTCTCGGCAAAAATGGCCTAACCTTCTAACCATCCAAAAAGTCAGCTAATGAATATATATATATACATACATACATATATATATATAGATTAAAAGGCAAAATACTGGAAAACAACAATGCTATGGGAAACAATGGCTGGATCTCAGTAGAGATACAAAAATGATAAGCAACAGCTAAAAAGTAAACGTAAGTAAACAGCCAGAAATAGAACCAGAGCTTTCGGACAACACTAGTCCTTCCTCAGTGGCGACATCTAGATGTGTATAAGAGACAGCCTTTGACCTATTGTAGGGTCATTTTATGTCAAATAAACCAGATTAAAAAAAAAATGCCTGTATGACCGTCTCAGATTTTGATGAAACTCCATAAAAATGATCCACTATAGGAAAAACCAACAAAAAAGCTAGCCACATGCAAGCGTAGGCTGATCAAATCATTCAAAATTGAATGGCATATATTCAAAGTTAGGGCCAGATCTATAAAAGAGAAAAACCCCTATATTTCTTAACAACGGATTGTCATGTGGGCAGTTAAAATCTTTTCTTAAATTTATCCCAGTTAATCAGATATATTATATCTACCTATAAACCAACTTTCAGCTTTGGTACTCAGCTCCTTCATGGTTAGATACTATTTTAACTCGAACCTGCGAGCGTCATAATGGTTATGACGCTCGCCTTGACAGCGAGACGTCGCGGGTTCGAGTTTATATATATAATTTAACAGTGTTAACGGCTATCTTGAGTTATATTATACGCAACTATTTGTTTCTAGCCATATTTATTGTGTAATGAAGTGTATCTGGTGGTATTTGAATCTGTTCAACCATGAAGCCTCCATGGTCTAATGGTTATGACGCTCGCCTTGACAGCGAGAGGTCGCAGGTTCGAGTCCCGCCAGAGG